CCTCTGTTGTTGGGGCCTAGAGAGGACAAGCCGTGATGCCAAACCGCCAAAGAAGCGTGTGCAACCGCCAGACACCACCCCCGTACCTCGACCCATCCCATCTCTTCACTACCCATCCTTCACCATTCCCTGGCACAACAAGGACACCAGATCCCCTTTGGTTTTAACACTAAATGCCTCACCGAGGACTGACTCCACTCCCACTGTGTCTGTCATTTGTTCCTCCTGTCCCTATATATACACACATATATATATGAAGAGTTCAGATGCAAAAGCCTCTAAGTAAGTGCCATTTGAAATCTTTTTCTAGAATGATCATTTTTATCAAGCTTGTATAAGTTCAGTGATTTCACTTAAATGGCAATGATAATTACCTATTAATTGTTATTTAAGTGAAATTACTAAACTTAAATATACAAGTTTGATAAAAATCATCATTAAAGAAGAACATTTCAAATGGCATTTAGAGGCTTTTGCATCTGAACTCTTCATATATATATATATATATATATATGACTCCACTCCCACTGTGTCCGAAGGAACTTTCCCCAGGAACTAGGAACTTTGGGGTGGTACTCGGTGTGTTTACACCGCAGGAACCAGGGTCTAAATGAAGTTCTGGGTAAAGCTCCAAATAAAAAAACTAATAAAAATGACAAAAACTAAAATTAAAACCGTTTGTAATTGTAATTAAAACAGAATTGAGCAGTGTTGTTTGCTACTTTTTATCAATGTTTGATATTTGGAGATAAGAAAGTGTCATGCAAGCCACCCCCAAAGCTACACCAAAGAAGCATTTTCTTCTCCTTTTTCTTTCTTTCCGAGCTTGTTGTAAGAGAAAAACTGAGAAGGGGGGATACAAAGAGTGTATTGTGTTAAACGGGTCTTGTGACAGTATTCAGGCAGCAAGGCTCCAAGGATACAGTGATGTGGGGAGCAGAGCTCTGTGCGTGTGTGTTTGTGGAGGGAAGCGCTTATCCAGTGGCCAACTCAGGCGTAAGCTGTCAGGCCCAGGTCACATGACCGTCGTTGTCATGACGAGCAAGCGTCATCTCATGTACAATGCTCAGCCGTGCAGCTCAGCAGGCAGTCAGAGGCTTAGACTGAGCTCTACAATGAACTTACACTTCATTTCATTCTTTTCACTGCCCTAATGTGACTAATATATTGTGCTTTATAAAGACTGCAATATGCCGCAAAAAAACTTTTCTTAATCATTATCTTTGGGTAGTTGACAAATAATTAACCAATTCATTTTTTTCAACCTTAAAGGGCACCTATTATGCCCCTTCTTGTTGTAATGTAATAAAGATGTAATATTGGTCTCGGTTGTCCCCAGAATGTATTTGTGAAGTTTCAGCTCAAAATACCCCACAGTTAATTTATTATAATCATTTGAAAATGTCATTTTGGGGACTGTTTGAAAATGAGCTGTTTTGAGGCATGCCACTTTAATGCAAATGAGCTACATATCCCTGCCCTGCCTTTGGATGAGGGCGTAACTTGAAACTTATGGCTATGGCAGTCGATCCAAGCAGAAGGGGAGAGTGAGAGACGCGCTATTTTATCTGTCATTCAGCGTACGTTTGAATCGGAATACATAAATAGCACAAAGAGACTCCGGCAGAATAAACACAAATGAGAATGGACCAGTACGTCTCGGTATGGTTATTTGAAACATTTATGTACTTACAGAGTTGTAATCGCGTCCTCTTTGCAAGTATGGAGGAGCAACACACACACGCTGACACACAAACACTAACGCTGGCACATTTTTTAAAACTAACGTTACATACACATGCTGTGATAAAGTTTGCTACGTAACTTACAAGCGAAATTACATTTATGCAGGGACCTGTGGCGTCATGTTTAGCTACTTGTCATACAGGTGCTTCTGTGGCAAATGTGAGAAGATGGCTAACTTGCAGAACAGGAACATATATGCGGTTTTTAATACAATATCTTTAGTTTAAAAATATATATATATTTATAAACGTGTGGTTACACACTATACAAACAAGGTTTAAATTATATACACAGACATTCTACGACGACAACAATTTTAGACGCTTTTGTTGTTGAATTGGCTGACATTGACTGAAAAGACTATTTGCTCAAAAATCATAAAACACACTTACTGTTACTGGATGTGACGGTGGATCGCAAACAGTAGACGACTATCCACACTTGAGGATTAACTTTTAAGCCACAACAACAGGATTAACCTACGAGTTGATAAATTATGTTTCCAAGAGAAATTACCGGCTGTCGTTGAAACAATGGAGGATGGTGTACCGAGGGCGGGGTTTATGCCACAAACCACCCTGTCAATCAAACCCCTTTCTCACTTTCTACGTCACAAAGAGCTGGATCTCTGAACAGCTCGTTCTGAGGCAGTGCATATGATTTATTGAGATTGTAAAAAAAACACTGGGTGGATTTTTAGCATTCTAGGGTGGTTTTGCTCACACACTGCCAACACACATTTATGTTCAAACACCATGTAAAAGTGAATTTTCCATAATAGGTGCCCTTTAAGGTTTTATATTTTAGTATATTATATTAAAGCGTTAATACTTATTGTCAGACAATACAATTTGAATGTATTTTTTTCCATTTGTAATCTGCAAATTTAATGTCGTTTCATATATATATATATTGTAGTGTTTGAATAAATGGTGGCAATCTTTCATTTTCATTTTTTCATCTGTCAGCATGATATAGCCATTAAAAGGGCTGCTCACGTCTTTTGCGCGCTCAAGTTCGATTTCAAATATAGGTGTGCAGTGTGCAGGCTCATAATGGAGCAACACGGTCGCCTCCCTCCACAGTCTTGTCGTCTTTGTTTTACAATGCAGCCAGACAAAAGATTTAGATTTCTTGGACATTTTGTCGACTAAACCCAAAACAAGCAGCGTTCTAACTGAATGAATACAGCATCCCTTACCGAGCACGAAGCAGCAGCGCAGCCGGCCACAGGTGCGTTCCCGAATGTTCAAAACTGTGTGTGCGCTAAAACTGTGGCGCTGTTACAAAATAGCCTAAATTAAAGCATTTAAAGATGGGGATAAAACAATGGCTAATTATATTTAGCTGGATATTGACAGTAATAAATAATTGCTAATAAACGAATAAATATCAAGGAGTAAATCATTTAAAAAAAAAATTTTTGTTGTAAAAAACATGTAACTGGTCGACCAATAAGAATGTCAGTCGACCAAGACGACATCGACCGATTACTCGACTAAACGACTAAAGTTGACAGCTACTGCCCAAGTACTGTTCCAATTCAAAGTTCACATCTACCCAAGTCCAGTTCAAATCCCCGGATGTGTTCTTGAAATGGATATTTTTAAAATGAAAACAAAAAGATTATGTTCATTTTGTTATAAATATATGCAGTGAAGATAATCAATGTAGGCTTCGTGTTGCCTGAACCACATGGCCATTAAGCTAATATGTTTAAGATTTTTTTTTTTATGAAAAGAGGCAGCGTGGTGTTTTATAATATATTTCGTTTTATTGTTGACGAAAAAGAGACAGAGTTGTAGCATATTTCGTTTTATTGTCGCCTAAAATATACATAAATAGATAACTGGAGTAGTCAGAGCGTCCTGAGTGACGCGATCAAGAACGCTCTGTTCAATTTGCAGAAGAACCGGACTTGCGTCCTCTCCTCCTCGGGAGTTCGTTCTCCTGAGTCGTACTCAGCTACCAATTTTGCGTACTTGGTATTGAGAAATGGCTATTCAGTTTAGTTTGGTTTTTTTTGTTCATTTCCTGTCTGCGTCTGATGTGTTGCCATGGTTTCTGATTTGATTGTATGTCCTGTTCAGTTGTGTTCACCTCATTAACCTGTGTATTTAGTTCCTGTGTTTGAATCCTCATTTGTCCTGTATCGTCAGTGTTATGTGGTTCTACTACTTTGCCTACCTTCCTTTTTCTGAGTTTGTTATTTGTGAATTTACTATTAAAGACTATTTAGTATCATTATCCTTATCGTTGTGCTTTGGACTTCCATGAGTTGTGACAATAGGACTGTACCATCATCTAACTAGTTTATTAATTCCAGAATGTGATTGAGTATCTTCTTCAGAGAAGAAACTGACACGGTCAGTCATCAAAGAAATATTACATCATGACCTTTGACTATTATTAATAAATTAAGCTCAAAAGTGGATGGATATAAGCATCAGTAGTCAAAAAGATTCTTTTTACTCAAATTGCCATTACTCTTGCCATTTTTTTTCTTCAACAATACACTGTGAGACTAGAGTAAAACCCTTTAAGGATGGTTCTTTAAAATTGTTTTTCCATAATAATGAATATATGATTTTTTTTTAATGGTTTGACAAGTTTTACCCAATGGTAGCTGGTTGGCGAGGTACAGAAGAAATGCTTTATCTGTCCCACACACAAACAATATGACTATGAATTTAGGGTTTGATGGTGGTGGATGACTTTCAGGTCTGGCTAACTCTGACATTTAACCCCATTACCATGGACGCTTATCAGAGCACTGTCATTTAACTGTTGACTCAATATCATTAATGTAGATTTTTTAAATATAGATTTGAGTCAGAATACTCTGGCCACACTTTCATGCTCAAAAATGACCAAAAAACAAAAAAAGCATCATAAAAATGATCCACAGTGGTCAGTTATTCACTGGAAATCTTGACATCCACTAGCTCTCCTTGTGCCATTTAGTTAGTCAAATAACAAACTTTTAAATTATTCAATTATCAAATGATCCATATAAATAATGGTGATTCTTTAAATGATTCAATTATCACTGGTATGTGCTTCAAATGATCCATATAAATAATAGTGATTCTTTAAATGATTCAATTATCATTGGTATGTGCTTCAAATGATCCATATAAATAATAGTGATTCTTTTTTAGGTTTTTTTATGTTTCTTATAGCCTCTAGGGTGGGATTATCTAAATATGAGGTAACGTGCATACATTTTTTTTTGTCTTCTCTTCCTCTTGTAGGCTGGTGTCATCCATTCACGCTCTTATGGCCACCGCAGCTGGAATCATCGTGGTGTCCTCGTGCAAAGGCAATGTAATTATGGACCGGTAAGTGGACCAATCCTGTTCCCCACCTTTTACAGTGCACCAATAATAAGCTTTTCTGCTGAAAAGATTATATTGTCCTCTATCTTTGTGTTAAGGTAATGATAAAGCAGCACTAGATGCTGATACAGTTTAGATTTGTGCTGCTGTGAACACATCTTGGTGTACAGTGCCTATAATAGAAGTAAGGTGCCTGTCAAAGCGTATTACTCATTTCAGTAACCAATTACAATTAAATTCTACTCTAACGTTTAAATAATTAGGGTCAGTATGTTTTTTGTTTTTGTTTTTTGTTTTTTAAATAAATACTTTTATTCAGCAAGGATACATTAAATTGATGCAAAAGTGACTGTGAAGACATTTATAATGTTTAACATATTTTCTTTTACAAAAAAATATGTTTCAAATACTGTTCTTTTGACATTTCTATTATTAAAGAATCCTGAAAAAAGTAATTAGTTTTCACAAACATATTAAGCAGCACAACTGTTTTCAACATTGATAATAAAAAGAAATGTATCTTGAGCACCAAATCAGCATATTAGAATGATTTCTGAAGGATCATGTTACTGAAGACTGAAGTAATGGCTGCTGAAAAATCAGTTTTACCATCAAAGGACAAAAAAAATGGAAAAGATTTAACATAAAATGTAATAATATTTCACAATATTACTGTTTTTACTGTATTTTGAATATTCTCAAATAAATGCAGCTTTGGTGAGCATAAGACACTTCTTTCAAAAACATTAAAAACATCTTACCAACCCCAAACTTCTCAATGGTAGTGTATATGCTGTTATGATAATAAACAAATAAATGACAAAATAGGATAATTTCTTAAATCCTCTTTCTCTAAATCATCATTAAGCTAGTGTTATACTTTCCACATCCGCAGTTGCGCGAGGGACCGTGAGGGACCACGTGACGTAAAAATTGTCATCGGAGGGTCTATCTGGAGGTTCCTTGAAGACGTCCGTGTGCCTCCCATTTTTTGTGACTGTGCTGTCAAAGTACGCCACTACTAAATTAGAACCGCGAAAGCGCTGGGGGGGGAAATGGACGTTGATTTCAAAGAGAGGTTGTGCGAAGAAGTCCGTCGCTACCCGCACCTCGACAACCCATCATTAAAGGATTATAAACAGCCAGATGTGCAATAATTCCTGGAAGGAAATTAGCCAGAGTTTAGGCAAAGAAGAAAGTATGTGTCTGCAGAAGTGGAAATATCTTAGGGTGTATTCACACCAGGAAAGTCCGATAGTTCACTTGCTTTGGTCCGGACCAAATAAATTATTTTTTTTTTTTTGGTACGGTTCGCTTTCACACTGCTCTTTTTGCAAGTGAACCAAAATTTGTAAACCAAACCACACGTGTGCTAAGGTCGTCTATTCATTGGACAAGGATTCTCAAGGGAAATCAGGAAGTGCAAAAAAGGCTCAGCATGGAGATATTTCCATATATTTCATACTGCAATATTTGTTCTTTTACTAATTTTGTGTTAATTCTGTACAAACGCAATATGAAGAAACTAATGAGTATCATATGATACAATGTCATCTATACGAAGTTGTAATTCGGATTTTGAGAAGATGACGAGTGTAACGTTTGAGTGGCTCTATAAATGCGGGGAAATACGACAACTCTCGTCTCTCGTGCTTTTCATTCGACCACCTTCTGTTTTTTTTTTATCTCTGGGCAACATCTCAACTTTGCGTTACAAGTGGCACTGCACAGAAGACGGAGAAGGTATAAAGTTTTCATTCATAATTCTTATTGTGTACTAACAAGTGCTGTCAATGTTAACGCTTGCGAATCGCGATTAAGTTTGTCCAGTTTAACGTAAATTAACGCATCATCATCCTTGTATTGTAATTATCCTTACATTAATAATAATAATAATTCATTGCATTTATATAGAATTTTTCTCGGCACTCGCTTTAAGGGGGAAACTCGTCAACCACCACCAAAAGGTGGTGAACTGCAAATGCTTTATGAACTGCGAATGATATTTTTTTTGCATCTTTGCGCGATTAGACATTCACACACGACGCGCAGAAAGACGTGCAGAAAGACGCGCAATATTCTCTTTCGACGCAGTGCTTTCTTGCAATTGGGTCGGTTCATGTTCACACCGTAAACGAACCGTACCAGAGTTCGTTTGGAACTGTACCGAGACCACCTCTTCAGCTGGGTCTCGGTTCGGTTGTTTGGTCCGCACCCGAGTTCGATTGCTATATTCACACCTGCCCAAAAGGTCCGCACCAAGGGGGCAAACGAACTAGAGTTCGATTCAATCGAACCAAACAAGGCAGGTGTGAATACACCCTTAGAGACCGGTTTGTCAAGACCTATTTTTACAGTCTATGATCAAGGCAAAGAAAAAAGCTGGAAAAAAGCATGTCTTTGCCACTGTCCCAGCCGATCTACTGCACATGTGTGGAACGCGTTCACTGATCGGACCTCAGCAGACAGTATAAACACAAGTAGTCCGTGTCCGCAGCTGTTTTTGTACACACCCAAACTGGAGTATAACTGAGCCTTTACATTACATAAACAGTTTGATGTTCAAAATTGATGTGATGTTGCTTTAAGAAGGCGGCCCATTAAACCCTACCTGCCAATGCCTTTGTTCACCTCAGTGGTGAGTCACAACAGCCTCAGGGCAAAAGTGCTTACCTCTATTCCCATGCCACATCTGCTGACCCCTTTGGCTCCGCCCCCACCCCAAGGACACAGGGAGGAGGAGATTAGGTACATAGAATCCCAGGGCAACAGCTGCTACCTTTCTATGTGCCCTTCCTCCCTCTGCCCTTCCCCGGCACTAGACACCTGCAATTTCAGCCTCTGCCACCTGTTCATGTGTGCTGGGTGAAATGTGTGCGTGTGTTTGTGGCATAACAGTGTAATCCATGGAAGATACTTGCCAGGCAAGCCTAGAGAAAACTCCCAACCACCCTGCTAATCCCCCAAAGGCTTAATACTTGGCTCGAGCACATGCACAGCCATGATCCTTTAGTGACGAGGAGCATCCGGTGATACTGTGAGTGTTAAATAGGGATGTGACGATTCACTCGCAGCCGGTTGAAAATCGAAAAAAATGTGTGACAAATGTTCAAGTCGGTTGAAATGTTAAATGAATCACGGTACACGTTTTAAACAGAAGGGGTGTTTACTGAATTGCCTACTACTCTGAAGTTCGCTTTACAGACACAATAGCAGCGAGCACACACTGGCACGTACCTAGCGAGTGTTTTCACTTCATTCCTAAGGAACTTGAGCTTGTGTGAGCACTCATAGTAATGAACTGAAAATGCTTGGTTTGCTTCGCTCGCCCCGCGCCAGTGTGTGCCATAGACTGTGTGCACGCGCTGTAAAACACATGGTGACGGCAAGCATAGATATTGACTCATTAAATCGGAGCTGTGGCGGGATTGTGACTCTTTGTAGACTAATAATAATCATCACCGTGAGAAGCACATCACCTCCGTTTTTTACTTAAAAGCATAGAGCGTAAAAGTCATTAATTACGACAAGTGTGAGAGCTACGGAGATCACAAGGTGCGTCAGTGTTTCCATGGCAACCATTTATTTTACGTTATCTCTTTCTCTAAATGTCGTGTACATGGATTAATTTATTTTTTAAATAATTTGTTGATGGTTATGGCATGGTATTTTGCTAAATGTGTTCTAGGGTTGTGCCGATAGACGATAGTATCGTGTATCGACGATAGTCTGACATATCGCCGATGGCAGATGCCTTTGACAAAATCAATACGATAATTGGCTCGTTTTACCATTATGTATTAAATTATTATTATTAGGCCTATTATTATTATTATGAAACTAGTATTGTTATTAAATGAATATAGGAACTACAATTAATTTGCCTTGCCTAAATTTACAACGACATCACCTCATAACAATTGCAACAACAGACGCACTAATGAGGACTCCTCTAAGAGAATGTTTTTAAAACAGACTAAAAAACATCCCACATCAAAATTCAATCGCAAGGTGATCCATTCACAAATTATCAAGTGTGCTCGTTTTAACAGACGCAAAATTCAATTTCCTACAGATCCAAGATGAAAACGGCATCGTTGTTCGTCAGTATTTGTTTCTGTAACACATTAACAAAACGTTTAATGACACTAACACTAAAAACAATACAATTACTAAATAGCATTAATAATAATATCACTAAAATAGTATTATAGTCACCGTTATCATCGTCGTCTCTGAGGGAACGCGGCGTTAATGCAGATGCCGAAAGCAGTCCGTTTTTACTTTCACTTTCAGAGATTGAGCGCGTTTACATGCGACGACGTTCTTAACCTGATTATGTTGAATAAACTTGACAATGCATGTGGTCATGTAAACGTTTCCTTTATCAGAGTCTATAAGTATAAACCGATCGACTCAGCTAGACGTTTGGCCCTTGCTCTTGTTTCTATCGGCATTTAAAACACATTAACCCGCGTAATTCGTGCTTACTGAAGTGCGCATGTGAAGTGCGCAGAGAGCGCACTGGTAGGGGGGCACCTCCGACTCTTTCTGACCCAAGAAATTATTAAAACGTGTTTTCATCTCGTGCAGAAATAGGCCCTAGTCAAAATGCTGCATGTAACGGCATGAGGATAGGCTAATGTGTCCGTAAATTTCCCGTTGACAAACAAAAGGATTAGGATCTCTTTTTTTTACTTCACTATACCAGGAAATAACCTGATCCTATTAATAAACACTCCACCTTTGCTAGCAAAATAGAAAAAAGATTCTCGTATATAAAACGAAGTAGGCTAATAAAACAAGCAAATTAATGGGTAGGCTAAATAATCAAGTTAATAATCAAATAAATTAGCCCCGCCCCCTCACGATAATATCGTGTATCGCCGATCTCACAGGCTGACGATAGGACGATATGAAAATGGAGCATATCGCCCAACACTTTCTGTTTTTTTTTTACTCTTTCTAGTTTAATGATACAAATTATGACAAAATTTAAATCTTTACTTTATTACAATGTAAAACGCCTGTCAATGCGGTATTTTACAGTCTTTTACTTAGTGTGCGACGGTACCAGTGTCCAGCCTCTTGACCAGACAGACAGAAACACTGAGTTGAAACAACCTTCAAGGGATTTTATTTTCAATGTAGTTTTATTATTTGATAATTATATTTCAAAATGAAAAAGAAATGTGCAGCATTTTGTTTGAGAAATAATGAAAGAGACACTTTTTCAAAATCTCATTTGTTAAAAAAATCATGAGAAAATCGTATCGTGAAACTGGTATTGTGAATCGTATCTCATCGTGAGTTGAGTGAATCGTTACATCCTTAGTGTTAAAGGAATAGTTCACTCAAAAATGGAAATTTTGTCATCATTGACTCATGTTGTAGAAATATTTCAGATATTTCACAGGATGTATAAGCTACTGTTTTCAATCTTAGCGGATGGGGACTAGAGGAGGCTGTGGTTAGCTTTCACTTTAATTATATTTAAAGGAACAGCTTGAACATTCTGAAAGATAACTCTTTTTGTTTTCCACCCAAGAAAGAATGTCATACAACAAAAAAACAACAAAAACTTTTTTGTAGTGTATTTTGTAGTGTATTTACACTTTTTGTAGTGTATTTACACTATCATTCATAAGTGTGGGGTCTGTAGAATTGTTTTTGAATCAAGTCTTGTATGCTCACTATGGCTGATCAAAAATACAGTAAACAACAATATTGCGAAATGTTATTACAATAACTTTTCTATTTTAATAATTTTTAAAATTCAAGTGATGGCAAAGTTAAATTACTCCAGTTTCAGGGTCACGTGATCCTTCAGAAATCATTCTATTATGCTGATTTGGTGGTCAAGAAACATTTCTGATTATTATTAATGTTGAAAACAGCTGTGCTGCTTAATATTTTTATTGGAACGATACATTTTTCAGGTTTCTTTGGGAAATAGAAAGTTCAAATCAACAGCATTTATTTTGTGCATCCTTGCTGAATAAAATATTTATGAATTAATATTAATTTCTTTAAAAAAAACCTTACTGACCCCTAACTTTTGAACAGTAAGATACATGGGATGCATACAACTATATTATTCTGTCAAACTCCAAAAAGGTGACTGAAATCACCATAAGAGTATCATAAACAAATTATGTGCTATATTCCAAATCTTCTAAAGCCTTTATGCATGCTGTTCGTTGATATGTGTGGATGTTAATTTGCATACCTATGATAATAATTAGCCTACGGTCCAAGTTTTATGTACCTTAACTATTTTGTTTTGAAAGATAAAAGATAAATACAGTTCTTGAGAAAGAACATTGTGAATATTATATTTACCATATAATTGATGCATATCTCATCTTTGGTGTGAATGAACATAGAAATGTCCCAGGTAAGTGTAGCTGTAAACTCTGTGGTAATTATTAAAGTACTGGTAAGGTAATTCACCAGTAATCACATGTGCAACGTCTGTGGATCACAGTGACACAACAATACAAACACACACACATTTGCTTATTTAGAAAAATGAGTACATATCTGTTGTTTTTATATAAAGGTAATAATTATTGATGACTAACTCTTACCCTGCCCAGCAGCCCCCAAAACACATAGTACATTTATAATGTGAAATCTAATTAGGAAAATATCTGTATTTAAAATTCTAAGGCTTTAAAACCTATTTAAAATTGCAACTAGCTTTTAATTGTAATTATGACACATTTTAGCCACACCTTACAGAAAACATTTTAATAAGTCAGTTTCAATCCATACCCTCATGAAGACTCTTTAAGCTATTTTGTCAATTATAATTTTAAATGTTACAGTTTTATTTGAATAAAGAACTCTTTAATATATTGCCCCACATGAGTGCTTTAGTTCCCTTATTTCATAGTGATATGCTTTGCTTAGCTATCCGATGATAAAACAGGTGAAAGAATGTCATGGCCTTAACTTGAAGAAGTGACCTGAATCATATCAAAGAACCAAAATATCATAGAGACTGTTGGGGATGGACTCTTTAAACTTGGGCTAGTAAGAAATCACCTTTGAACCTCTTATTAAAGATGCAGTCTGTTGCTTTTTTTGGTTAAACATTATCCAAAATAAATTTTTGAGCAAATACATAACTAGCCAGTGTTCAAAACTACCTGCTTGCCTTAGCTCGATTCAAAACGGCAAGCTTGTAATAATGCTTTCAATTCCAGTGGTACTGGTGGATTTCCACGGGAATATTAAAAATATAGAATAGAAAATATTATGTTGGGCATACTTGCAAAAATAATTCTGAATGCCAGTATTCACACCGTCGTGGTGACTGACACTCTCCTCAAACATTGCTTTCATCCGCGCTGTGCAGTGTCTAGGCACAACTCGCGTAACGTTGATAATTCTGAATAACTGCAGCTTTAATATAAAGCATTCTCATGTTTCGGACAACTTGGATCATGTACATTTCCCGGAGCAGCTCACTCTGTTTCCTCCTCTAGTTTCCATATGTGTTTTGTCCATAGAAATGGGTTATTCACTACTGTAAATAAACGTTATTAGCTGATAGTTTCCCAGGCACAGTGCTCAAATGCTACTAATCTATAATCAAATTAGTTGTCGATTATTTTCATTATCGATAATAATTGTTTTTATCGATAAGTTGTTGCGGCCATTAGTTGTTGCAGATTAGTTGTGTCACACAATCCTTCAGAAATAATTTTAATATGCTGATATGATGCTTAAGAAATATTTCTTATTATTATCAATGTTAAAAACAGTTGTGCTGCTTAATATTTTTGTGAAAACCGTGATACATTTTTTCAGGATGAATAAAAAGTTCAAAAGAATAGCATTTATTTGAAATAGGAAATCTTTTGTATGTATTAAGTATTTTATTTATTTGTATTTTGTATTTCAGGCATGGTTTTTGTTGGGAATTACAAATCTGCGCACATATATTGAAACGCACATAACTATAGAATCAATTTTTAATGCGCATATGAACGCCATCAGCGTTTATCACAGGTTCGCATTTAAAGTCTGTTTAGAGACATTCATGTACATTACAGTTACTGTAAATCCACCCTCTAGTTCATAAACGCTAGGGTAGATCTGGTCCCCAACTGAGACTGGGTTCTCCCAAGGTTTTTTTTCTCCATTGGGTCACCTGATGGAGTTTTTGGACACCATTAGGTCACTTGATCAAGTTTTTCAGTTCCTTGCCACTGTTGCCTTTGGCTTGCTCAGTTGGGGATATTCAAATTACTTAAAGGGTTAGTTCACCCAAAAATGAAAATTCTGTCAGTATTTACTCACTCTCATGTTCATTTTTGGGTGAACTAACCCTTTAACCAATCAATAATACCTTTGTTCAGCACTACCAAATGTGGATGTTTTTCCACTAAGAAACGAACATTGTTATTGTGTTTTGATTGATACTGTGAAGCTGCTTTAATGCAATCTATATTGTGAAAAGCGCTATATAAATGTACTTGACTTGACTTGACTTAAGAATAATGGATCTACGGTCTCTTTTGATCAATTTAATGTAAAGTATTAATTTCTTTTCAAAAAAGTTTTTACTGAACCCCCACTTTTGAAATATAAACTTTTAGAATACTTTAAGTTTTTACTTTGAGTTTTTTTTAGAAAATGAGACTAAGCATATTTTGTATGTTTGTTAGAAATCACTTCACACATGATTTGTTCACCTATCCTGTTCATTTTCTATTCCAGACACTGGCTGACCACCTATTTTGTCATTTGGTATGGCGTTCCCTACATGTCTTATGACATCTTCGCCATGTACCTCAGCCATTACTATCGCTTCCGGGTCAAAGGCCACAAGGACTATAAAAGCCACTCTCTACGAACCGTCAACTCATTTGTGAGGAAAGAGTTCCTGCTGGTCCTCCATCATATTGCACTACTCTCCATTCTACTGCCTGTGACTCTGGTGAGAGAGAGGACAGAAATACAGGGATAGAGACTCGGATGAGCGATATGACAACCAATATTATGACGGGAGAGAGTAATGGGCCTTCTCAAATAACCACCTCCACCTATAGCCAGGACCAAATGGGAGGGAATGTAAAAAGGGGTCTGCAGTGCTTTTGTGTCCGTTAAGTACCTGATTCTATGAGAAACAATTACCTTAATAGCAGCTGTTACACTGCCAGGGTACATGCAGTGGGACAGACACACACACACTAGTGGAAACCTGGTCTTTTGTTTGGTGTCTCTGGGCTGTCAGTGGTGATATGAGATCACTTTACCCACGCTTCCATTATTCACACACAGCTGCTACTCAGATACCACCTCACAAACACGTTGCTTTGTGCTCCTGTACCACAAAATGTCCCACAAGTCACAAACGTGGACAAACAGATTTTGACATGCATGGTGGTAATAACACAAATAAGGACAAGACCCAGACCACCACAACAAAACATCTGACTTTTATTCAATATATAACAATCTACTTATTTATGTATATTATTTAATACTTTACTATACACAGTAATGTTTAGTAAGGCATTTTGCATTGACAAAAAGGATGTATAGATAAATAAAATATAGGTAAATAATATAGCCATAGACTTCACCCAAACCGTGTAGTTTAAGATTGTGCTTCAGGTTAGCGGGAAGGATTCAGATGGCTGTTCTAACTAGTCATTCTTATCTTGTTACATTTATACACACATTACACACCTTTGATCCACCATATCCAGCATTGCATCTGTGTATTATAATATACATTTTATTAATTCAAATGAATATAAATTTAAATTCTTAAAAATGTAATATATAATTTTTAGTTAATAATATAAAAATAAATATGCCCAAATGTAACTGGAGGAACACAGGAAGTAGATTGGGTGTCTGGAATTTTTTCAGAAAATATGTGATTTTTTGTGTGTGTGTGTGTGAGAGAGAGAGAGAGAGAGAGAGGGAAAAAAAGGCGATACTATATTCAAATGTTCTGGGCCAGTAAGATTTTTATTTTTTTAAGAAATCATTAACTTTCTATTCATCAAATCATTGCTATAAAATATTTCACTAAAGTATTAAGCAGCACAACCGTTTTCAACACTGATAATACTAAGAAATGTTTCTTCAGCACTAAATCATGGTTATTTAATTTTGATGAAACATTTCTTTGTATTACACAAAACAGTTGTGCTGCTTAATACTTTTGTGAAATTAGAATGATTCTGAAGGATCATGTGACACTGGAGACTGCAGTAATGAATGCTTTGATAAGATTTTTAAAAATCTTACTTGACCCCACATTTTGAATGGTAGTGTAGGCATTACAATTTCATTATCAGATTGATGCATTACATATTATTTACACCCTTATTGTTCACATAGTGTTTGTGTGTTCATGTTTGTGCTGACTGTGGTTTTTGGTCTCTTTGTGTACATCAGTTCTTCAGGAAAGACCAGGGTGATTTCTTCATTGGCTGTCTCTTCCTCACAGAGCTCAGCACTCCTTTTGTTTCAGTGGGCAAAATCCTCATTCAGGTAACACATGCACACACTCTCACAAACTGATTGTGTGTTTTACTCGGCTGTGTTTTACTCAGCTGTCCTTCACAGTGCTGCACAGGAGTTGCCAGTCAACACTTTTCCTGTTTCCTTTTAGTAAAGATAAATGGTTAAATACAGAGATGGAGGTCTGTCAGTGCAACAAACAATCAAAAGGATATAATAATAATTTGCTGGGTTCAATCAATCTAAACAGTTGTGCTGGTTAATATGTTTGTGGAAAGTTTGATAAAAAAAGATTTCAGTATACTTTGATGAAGAGAGTGTTCAAAAGAACAGCATTTACTTGAAATAGAAATCTTTTGTAACACTATAAATGTCTTTACTGTAACTTTTGATTGAATGCAACCTTGCTGAATAAAAGTATTAATTTCTTTAAAAAAAAAAAAACATGTATATAAACACACACACACATACATATATATATATATATATATATATATATATATATATATATAATTGCTGACCCCAAACCAAATAAATGAATGCAGCCATAATGGTGGTGCGTGATGGGGAAATAATGCATTCCCTGGATGAAGCATTCTGTCTCTCTACTCTGTAGTTTTCAATAACTGCTGATTCTTGGTCTTTGCTGTTTGGAGAGATTAGGTGAAATTGTTTTCAGACATGCATCACTTATGTGCCTCCACATGCCTCCTTTTGGTAGTCTTAGGTATTACATTTTAAAGCAGTCTTATCGTCTTTGCAGTTACATTTATTCTTTTTTTGCCAGATGATTGACCAAGTCTGGTCTACTTTGCAGTTTTTCTGACAAAGAACTGGTAGTCCTCAAACTGTATTCACTTTATAGCCCTTTATCCTGTAATTGTGGACAAATGTGGGCACAGAGGACTCAGGTGTGATCTTAATTTTATTTATTATAAATGTTATATCACTGTCTTCGATAAAGTTTTGGCTATCCATTTATGGTGTTTTTATTTTTGAATTTATTTACTTCAAAAAGTACCACATTTTCTATGTAAATTATGCTTATTTTTATATTTTATTTTTTAATTGTTTTAACTACATTAAAATATCATTCCAATAAGTTCTTAGAGCTAAAACCTAAAGATGAAGTGACTTTGCTGTCACCTGGTGTCTTATTTTGGCTTATTTTAGAATGTTCTAAATTACAGTTTTTCCCATTCATTTCTATGGGTGCCCATTTTTGACTCAAATACAAGATTGAGGGTTAACATTGTATATTTTTTTTTTTTTTTTCACCAACTTAACATTGTAGAATTGACTGTGTGTCAAAAATGTGTGTGTTCAGGAGGCAAACTTAGCCAAGTCTTGTACCGCTCAGATCAAGGGAAGTATTTTTTAAAAAATAAATCAAAACTATTTTGCCCAAATTTGTCCAGAATACGGTTTTAGGGTTAAACAGGATGATACTGATATGAAAAGAAGATATTGTAAAGAATGTTTATCACCAAACAGTTTTGGTGCCCATTGACTTCTATTAGCTGGACAAAAAAACAACGACAATGAAATCTGATGAAAACCTGGTCAAATTAATTAAATCTGATAGATTTCTGTTCCTCCACTGAAAGTCCAGAAAACAAAAAATTAGAGGATCCATAAACAACATAAAGGCATCCTAAAACTAATCCATATTTATTTATTTTATTCATTTGTGTGAGATCCAATGAGGTTTTAGTGTGTGATGCCCACATGAGTTTCTGTGTTTACCATAAGTGGTGTGCTATATGTATGAGTTTAAATGTGAATAAAAGCCTATATAAACCTGTTCATCATATAAAGCGATTGTATCTCTTCACAAGACTTTGATTAAAGCGCATGATTCATATAGATCCATTTTCAATTGACGTTTGAGATTTGGTTATCTGGACTTTCAATGGAAGGACAGAAACCACCATAAAATCTTGATTTGTTGATTTGACTTAAAACATGTCCGAATTAAAATTTTTGGGTGAATTATGCGTTTAATGTTAACCCTGGTTTGCCCACATCCTCCTCTCATTCTTCTCTGTTTTACTGTCTCGTGCTGTAGCTGGGGTTGCAGGAATGCTGGCTGCACAAGGTTAATGGCGGCATGGTGTTGCTCAGTTTCTTCTTGTTCCGCATCGCACTCTTCCCCTACATGTACTGGGCCTACGGCTCCCACTACGGCATCCCCCTCTACAAGGTTCCCTTCCATCTGCCGCTCTCCACCAACCTGGGCAACCTCTGCATCCTATCGCCGCAGGTCTACTGGTTCGTCCTTCTCTGCCGTAAAGGCTTCCGACTCTACAAGCGTCAGCGGGATGCTCAGAACCAGGTCTCTCCCCTGTCCTCGCCCGAGCCTCTCTCGGATATCTACAAGGCTGATTAGTTTTCATCTAATACAAACAATCAACCAACCAACGTCACAGCTCAAGGCTACGGCACTGCATCTACTACTGTTACAGTACAACCAAGACTTCATGTTAGACATAACCTTATTGCTTCTCTTCTCTGCTTTACTCCATTCCACGCACACTCTCACATTTACATGTTTGACCGTTACAATGCCCACTCTACTGGATTTACTGCAGTGAACTCCAGGGAACATCTTTTAGGTCAGTTATCGTGGGCCAAGACCCTCTCTTCCTTCTCTGATTGAAGTATTTGTTACAGTTTGGACTGATGTCTTTAAATGTAATTGGAATTATGTGTTACTTTTTTGTTTTTCTTTTTAGAAATTCTGCCCCTGTGTGCTTAGAGTACAAAAATACACTGGTTTAAAAGAGGGGAATTATTATGTGAGCGGCACAGCCATCAGTATAATAAATTCATCAGATTAGTCCCACAGTATTTCAGGTCACATCCGAACAACTTTTTCACATCACTTCCCACTCGGCGCAAAGCTCCGATCACATGGTAAGCATTTCCATGGCTGCAGTGCTGCTGTTCTTGTTTACAGCTCATTAGAGTTCTGTGAACGTGTATGTGCACACACATACACTGCCCTGCTGTGACTGTTTACACTCCTCTAACACACACCGCCCCACACATGCTCTGGAGGCTGCTAATGAATTCTGCTTCGCTTCTGCGGGCCTTTTGAGAATCATCCTCCCATCCACATGGGGGTAGTAGAGAGTTGGTCTTTGTTTAAATTAGGGATGGGCAACTTCGATCCTGGAGGGCCTCTGTCCTGCAGAGTTTATCTCAAACCCTGATTAAAAAAAAATTTTTATTATTATTATTTATTTTTTTATTTTTTTTGTAATCTGTAAGACATTGATTAGCTTGCTTGGGGGTGTTTGATTAGGGCTAGTTGCCCTCTGAGAACAAAGTTGCCCATCCCTGGTTTAAATGGGAGACACAGGACTCAAGTCTATGGGGGATGGGGTCTTTGCAGGGTACAAAGAGTGAGCACATAACGCTTGGCATATCTTTTAGGCCACATTATGCCCAAAGGCATCTCCAGGCAGAGTCAAAGCAATAACACAGGGGGGCTTCAAAGCCAGGGATTGTGGGTAATCGGATGGCTCATGTGAACACATGGGCAAGGATAGAAAAGTTGCAAGCCACCTACTCTGATAACTGATCTTTGTATATCCAAAGGGCACAATACTTGGTTCTTATGGTCTTGGAAAGATGTTGTTTATGATTTTCATGTGTGGAACAGTCATTAGTAATCTTTAAAATTCACAATTTCAGTAGTTATTGTTTTTTTGTTATGCTCAGCTCTTTGGAGGAATATTGTTTTTGGCTATAAATCACTTTTTATGATTGCTGTCTACTAAATAATTTCTAGAAAATGATATCCAGTAATCATGGAAAAAGTCCGAAATTTGCTGGTCAAAAGATGTGGGAACTCGTAATAGTGTCGTGTTTGTGAGTGTGAAGTGTGAAATGCTCTTGACTTGGGGCATGAATTTTCTATGAATCTTTCTATTAACTGAGCCTACAGTTTGAGTTGTAGATAAACAATTGTATTTATTTCTATATTTTGGAATAGTGCAGTATAAATGGGCGATTTTCTGTTGCTTAGGATATTTTTTAGGGATAATCTGTGGCACATGAGAGCTTGTGTAAGTGTAGCAAGGAACTCCGAAGCCTTTGTTTCAGGGCTTTTAACATAACCTGCAGCATCTTTCATGATACATTTAGTGAATGCTGGGTGGCGTATGAATGCAACTAACAGTTCTAGGTTCCATTAAGCATTTTCATAAGTGCAGAACTGTCAGATTCAAATGTTGCTCAGTACGTACACATGCACTCTTGTTTAGTGTGTTTCTAAGACAAACTGGGCCTAAAGGTTGCCTTTAGCAAGTGTGTTTGTGTGCGAGAGACAGAAAGAAGACTTATATAACAGTGTGTTTAAGCACCCAGCTCATTCTTTAGGAGGTTGAACGGGGTCTTTGCTGGACTGAAAGAGAGAGAATGCATGTTTTGCTCTCCATTTCTAAAGCTTTAGTACTTTTCAAAACTAACTATGCAGTCTTTCAAGCTGCTGCTTCTTGTCTATGGCAACACTATGCTTTCTTTAGTTTTGCTTAGGTAGGATGCATCTGGCAGTTGAGTTGGCCATAATAATCATAATGCATGTTTTGTTTCATGTTTTTTTTTTTTTTTTCCAGTAGTATATCATGTCAATGGTTTTCTCAGTTGAAGTGTAGTCTGTTACAGTACGTTTTTCTAAATTTTCAAATTATTCACCCTTTCATTTTCAGAATAGACTGTCTATTATATATACACTAAATGGCCGAAAGCATGTGGACACCCAACGAGCATTTAAAAATCAAATCAATGGGCATTAATTAGGAGTTTGTCATTCCTTTGCTGCTATAACATCTTACATTCTTCCCAAACCGTCGAACAAAGTTGTATGCACACAATTATGTTAAATGTCATTGTATGGTGTTGATCTATTGTTAATTATGAAAGGGATGTCCACAAATTTTTGGCCGTGTAGTGTAATCCTAGAATATATGAACAGGTTTGTTTTGAAATGCATGGAGCATGACCATAAAACACTAAATGTACTGTCCAACAGGTTTATTTATGCCACACTTAACCTTTAAATCATAGTGCAGTGTATGATGCTGATAATTTTTTCTTAATTTTTTTTTTTTTTTAAATAATAATACAATTCTAGTGTCTTCAAGGCCTCCTCTCTCAGCTCAGGGTTTGATAAAGACGTTATAGTTTATCAATTATTATTTAGAGATGAAAGATGAGACTGTGATTAAAAAGGATTTACATAAGACACATTTATAATTGAAACTATCTTTTCCAACACTTTTGGGGTTTGTTAGACCAAAGATTCTTAGGCACTTTTTATAGACAAGTGACATGTAGCTAAACTGTCTGAGACTCCACATCATTTCCCTTTCCTTGCTCAATATCCGCAGAGGGGCAGATCTCTACAGGACAGGCTGATGGTTCAGGCAAAATGACTGGAATTTCTCTAACTGGAATATTTGGCTAAGTTTATGCTGTTTTACTGTAAATTACAAACTGGATGAATCTGATGAAAACGGGTCCAGATCATATTTCACCCCCAAAAGCCCTTTTTTCTTTTCAAAAGTTCACAAAGATAGTATGAGAATTTGTCATGTTTAATTGCCATAAAAGAAAATAGAAAAGGCTTAATGGTCATGAAATAGACAAAACATTTTCTGAAATATACGATCCGGACATGCTTTAAACGGGTTTTGTGAGAAGGACAGAAGTTGAGAAATAAGATGTTCAGGAATCTTATCAGCTGCTCTGATTCTTTAATACATATCAAAACTAGACTGGACTCTTGCTGGTTTGATGGGTGCTTTGTTTGGAGCTTTGTAGTTTCCTGTAAATGGATGTCACAGAGGACTGGATGAAGGCAAATATATGCATAAAAGTCTGAGGATAGAAATTTAGCTATATTGAATATCTATAAAAGTTTTGTTTTCCCCCCAAATTATGCGTTGTCTGGAATATCGTAAAATACAGTGCCTTGTATTAAAGTTGTGTGTGATATTGACACAAGCTCAGTGCACAGCAGCCCTGGGCAGGTGGTGTTTTAGGTTGTGACTGTCTCTTCTCATACTTTTGTTTTATGTTCATTAGTACATTACACAAAAATAAGAAAAATCTCAGCATCATCAGGCACAGTGTACTGTACACTTTAACCCTTTATGCTAGTAGGTTTTATTTTGTTTTTGAATGAATTGTTACAGCTAACTTTGTCCTTAAAACATAAAGTCTAAGTCTTAAAATTGTTTTAAGTGAGGTTCTGTTTGCTTGCCGTGTTGTCTTTATATTTGCACTCTTAGAGTTGATTTAAAGAAAATCTAAACTCTAAAGGTCTATAATGTGACCCAGTTTTCTGAACTGCATCCATTCCTCATGAAACAGACATGATTCAACAATGCATTGGCTCAATCTTACACCGGTTTAAATCCATGTCACACATCTGCTCGGTTTTGATTTTTGGTTGCATCTCCAAACTCAATTCAGCATTATAAACTCTTATTTAGAGGCCAGTGGGAAAGGACAATTTTCAGAGAACTGGGAAGTCGCCAGAAAGCATGTTTGCATTATCTGTTTCCTGCTGAGGAAATCTCATTTCCTTGCTATGTCAGCTTGACCTCAAAGCATGATTTCATTGTGGTTTCCTAATGCACAACCTTTAGCACTCCCTGCCTATCACATTTTGATTTTCACACACATATATTATATCAGATGTCATATAAATATATAGTTTTCTGTTTGTTTGTAGGATGACATTTTAAGAACTCTCCTTTTAGAAAGGGGATACAGAGTGAAACTAATATAAACACTTGATTGAGCTTATTTTCTTGAAACTTGTAAATCCAAACACCACTTTGGAGGAAATAAATCTGATTTGGTGAATTCTTTTAAACTGAGCTGCCTTTGTTTACTAAGAAGCTGCGTGTTAACATTTCACTGATACACAACATAACACAGGCAACAAGTGAAAAAAAAAAAAATCAAAAGAATTTATGACCTATTACATTATGAACATTTTTTTTTAATTTTTAAGTTAACACTACACATTTTATCTTGCTTCGCTCAGAGGATCAACCAGCACAACGCATGACATTTTCAATACAATTATGTACAAATAATATCCTAGGAGGTTGTCAGATCATCAGATAGCCTGAGACAGAAAGGTCAAGACATTCCTTAGATTGTACGAAACTTCTGCTCAGCTTTGTTGTCCTATTGGTCCACTCAGGCAACCTAATCTCTTCTGGTGGGATGGGACACCTTTTGAGTGGTGGCAGAGAGGAAGATTGCACAATGTCTTCCAATATACTGTGAGGAATACACAACAGTACATGGTAACAGTCCTGAAGCTGATGTTCATCTGAGATAGTATTCAATAGCAGCAGAAAAAGCAGCAAAACCTCCACAGCCCAGAACTCCAGCTTTAAGACCAGCTAGTGAAGAGAGGAACAGCTTGTTTATTTAGTCCACAATTACCACACATCTGAATCCTTTCTATTCTTTAAACCCAAGGTCAAAAATTACCTCTGAACCCAATGGCACCTCCTGTGACACATCCACTGTACACTGCATTTTTCCAGTCAGATTTCCCACGATGCTAGAAGAGAGAAATAAATCCATTCTTTACACAGAAGATCAGTACTGAAAACATCCTACAAGGAATGGATGAGTAGAAAGACCACTCAAATACAGAACCACTTGGTGGCGCCATTAATCCATATTAAACAGCAATGTTTAGAAACAAGCGAGTTGATGTTATAACATTTCATTCAGTCTACATCAGCATATAAAATATGATAGATTTTATAACAGGTACTGTTCTAAAATAAGTCATCTTGCGACGCAGCCTATGAAATGAGACTGATCGAAAGTGGAAGTTTGAATATGCAAGGCATTTTGGGAAGTGAAACACTAAATAACTGGTTGTTTTTAGACCGTGAATTTGACAGATTTATTTTGCATGTATAAAAAATGAATAATCATGTAAAACATACATTTTACATTTACAAATATAATACAAATGTGTGCTATTTCACATGCAACAAAATGTTTCATTCAGCAGTAATAAATTAGAAAATTCTTCCAAGGACTTAAAGGAAAACTCAGGCGAACAATGAACCTTTGGTCTAATAAAACATCGGTACCTAGTCAATCGTTCTCTGAGTTTTGTTTTCTTGATAATCGAATGTAAAGAGTTTTATCTCTAAAAACTGTTTAGCGTATAATGCTAGTAATGGGGGCATTGACTAAGTAAAAAGAAATCGCTAGTTTATACCACTAACAAGGCTCAAAATAGCCTCACACTCACACAGTAACATAATGAGGCTCCATACATCTCCATACATCTCGATAAGTCGATCCACGAACGCCGTTCATACAGTTCAGAAGTTCGCTAAACTTCATACAGTTCAGATCACTCAGCACGACGTTCGTTTTTAAGATGGCTCCTGTCCGTATACGCGAAGTGAACTGTCTTCATAAAGTATCTTCTTATTAAACGGTCTGTACACTTACAAAGTTCTCAATGCTTCGTTTTGTATGTATGGAGCCTCATTTTGTTACTGCGTTAGTGTGGGGCTATTTTGAGCCTTTTTGGTGGTATAAACCAGCGATTTCTTTTTACTTAGTCAATGCCCCCATTACTAGCATTATACGCTAAACAGTTTTTAGAGATAAAACTCTTTACATTGGATTATCATGAAAACAAATCTCAGAGAACGTTTGACTATGTACCGATGTTTTATTAGACCAAAGGTTCATTGTTCGCCGGAGTTCTCCTTTAAAAGTTGTCACCATGTGAAAAAGTGTGTTGATTTAGTCTCAACCTCAGGGGCCTATACCATGAAGCCGGTTTAGGTGGCTAGCCAGCTATGTTTCAGTTAAGTTTGTGCCAACCCTGGGTTTTAGGTACCATGAAAGTGGTTTGGCTTTTAGCAGTGTTCATCGCCATAGTAACTTACACTCCACGGCTAACCTGGTCTGGGGCAGGTTATGTTCCAGGTAAGAGGTTGCAAAATGAACTTGGACCAATCAGCTGTGAGCAAAGTGACACATGTATGACGTGATAAAGTCACTCCACAGCAAATGATTTTAAAAGACAAAATCATCATTTTAGTAAATAAATTTGTATGATTTAGAGATTATTTCTATAATTATTATACCCTAAAACGATCTCACATGTACAATTTCAGTTCATCAATTATTATTACATGGATTTTAAAAGAACGTATATAAAGGTAACATAAATATGCTTTAGAATCAATAAATGAAGCTATAAAATGACGTGAGCTTAAATGTTCAATTTTCTCTATACCTTTATCAACTGTTTAAACTAACTTCACAACTTTTACTTGCACTGATATACAGTAGCGAGACTTTCTATTAGTTGTCCTCTTTCACAAACAGCTATTTTCTTCTTGCTGTGTAAATTTGTTTAAATTCTTAATATTTTAATACTTTTGTTTAATAAGTGAATTGCGCTACTTCTCTAACGAGAAATTAATTTCCAGACTGATCTCATGAAGTAGCGTGTGTATGACACGCCAATTCGTATTTCCATTTTTGGCGTGCTATCAAGACGCATAATCGCCTTTCAGCGTGTTTATGAACGCCGTTGACTTAACGTTATATAAATATATGACTTACCTCAACCCCGTCGCTAAACCTAACCGTCACTGGGGTTAATGGCATTTCTGACTGTTCCCTTACCATCCTAGGGAAAAAAAAGATATGACTTACCTCAACCCCATCCCTAAACTTAACCGTCACTGGGGTTAATGGCATTTATGACTGGAGATTTTTCCACACGCGGAATGACGCAGACGTTAATGGCGTAGACATATACGCATACACGCGGATAGCTCAAAATGCGTAGAGATAACACGCCACCTGACTCGAAAATGGCGTATATGTTTACGCAAAAGTCATGATGTCATGTTGTAATTTCAATGAGTTTTGAATGAGTTTCACTCTTTCTCAGCATGTGATTGGCTGTTCGCAACTGATGTCACACCTAAACTCAGGATCAAAGCCTGGGTTGACAGAGAAAGTTGATGATCAGCATCATGGTACCAACAAGGCCTGGTTGGATTGGTTTGGTTTCGTCAACTCGAAACGAATCCTGCAACCCTGAGTTTGTTCAACTACCATCATGGTACAGGGCCCAGATGTCATGCCCTCGGACCATTGGCTGAACATCGGATGCACAAGGCATTCAAAACGGTAAAAACTTAAACTGTGATTGGCTGCTTTTACACATCAATCAGACCTCTTGGGTTGTTCTTAGCAAATAAAAGTTTCCTTTTATTCCTTTAAAAAAACATTTTGATGTCAGTCTGAAGGTCTCTACGTGAGAGAGACTAGAGTTTATTTGATAAGAGAAAAAGGAGATGACACGATGGAATGTAATCGGACAGACAAAATAAGACAATGGAACTTACTGATTCTATGAGACACTCCGTGCATGAAAACATTGCACCCACAATGGCAAAGTTTTTAGCATATGACATTCCTCTCTGCCCCATGTCTTTCAAAACCTCCCTTGCTGTGGGGGTCCTTAAGGGGTCTTTGGGATCAAGACCAACATTAGAGTCAATTCCGGCTGTGAAGACACCAAAAGCTCCTCCCAACACAAACCCTAAAAGAGAGAGAAATGTTGATTTAGAGCTGTTGATTTTGATTCTGATTTAAATATTGAGATCACAAAACCCCTTACATTTGAATTACCATCCACATAAGAATTATTAACATATTGAGACACTCAATAAATATTGCAATATAGTATTTGGTTTTACTTTACTCAAGTATTTTAATATTAACATTCCACAGTATGATCTATACTTGAGCCTATACTGTGTTCATTGACAAATTGTTGAACTGTCAAACATGACAACACACTTATTTGATCAGTAAACTATGCCGGTGTAAAACGTGTTAAATGTCTATCATTGAAATACCTCCGACACATGCTATGAGTGATTTAAACGCGCAGCTCTCCATTCCCCTCTCGATCATCTTCTCCTCTTCTGTTTTCCGAGGACTCGGTAAAGCACCCATAACGGTCGGGTTCAAGTCTTTAATCTGTCTTTTGGCACCAATAAGGTGATCCAAAAGAAGACTATACTGTAGTGGAGCATTTTCCGCAGATAAAACAGTTGCCGATTGACATGTAGCAACCGAGAGTGATGCATCCGTGCTTTCTGTGGGCGCAGCCATGTTAAACCAAGCATGTTTCAGTCACGTTACGAGAAGGTTAAACAAGAGCACATTCGTCAATAGTTATTCGAAAAACGACCAAATAACATAAATCACACAGCTTGGTTATTTTTAAAGTCCTAGATATACTCAAAATAACATGTGTGTTCTCCATGCAACATTTACATAGTCATTTCTAATAATAATAATGATAATAATATTTGGATTTGCAGATTCGACAGAAAGGGAGGTGACCTTTGCATTGGCACTGACTCCTGAGACGCTCAGAATATTTTATATAACGATAATAATACAAGCTTTTTTTATCTTCTGAATTTTAAAATTATTTAATTTTCTTAAAGCTATTTCAACGTTGTTTACTAAAGATACTTTGAACGATATTATTATTTCCCTACATCTTCTATAAACAAAGACGCAAAATATGAAATACGTATTCAATTTATATATGTATGTTAATATATATATATATATATTATATATATATATATATATATATATATATATATATATATATATATATATATATGAGTGTGTGTGTGTGTGTGTGTGTGTGTGTGTGTGTGTGTGTGTGTGTGTGTGTGTGTGTGTGTGTGTGTGTGTGTGTGTGTGTGTGTGTGTGTGTGAGAGACCATTTAAGATATAAACAACACTGGTCCAGAAACACTTCCTGTTTCAGTTTGTAACTGTTTTCTTTATTTCACATGTAAAGAAAACATCTTAAAGAGATATATATATATAAGAAAGAAATGAAAGAAAGAAAGAAAGAAAGAAAGAAAGAAAGAAAGAAAGAAAGAAAGAAAGAAAGAAAGAAAGAAAGAAAGAAAGAAAGAAAGAAAGAAATTATACTATATCAAAGCCCGTCTACGGAAAACCTGGCCACTCACTATTAACCTTCAAATGGTCTTCGTTTCCTGTTTACACTTTTGGGCTTCGGGGTCTTTATGACCCCAACAATTGATTGAGTTTTTGTACAAAAAATATACATTTTTTAATCATAGAAATAATGTATCTTTTTTGTTGTTGTTGTTTACTTCTCATCTATTCATGTTCTCATCATCCAATGCTGTGTTTTTGGAGATATAAAGTACTTTTGTATCCATATATCAAAAAAAATCCTCAACTACACCTTTAGCTTGCATATGAAATATAATTTTTTATGATATATTGCATTTATGCTCTAGTACTAGGCCTTCATTTCTGTGTAAAAAAGTTGTTGTTTTTTTTTTTGTTTTTTTTTTGACACATGAAGAAAATATATTTAGTTTTTTTTTTTCACATTTCTCATTCATTTCAATGTGGGGTCATATTGATCCCGAAGACCACAAGTGTAAACATTTTTTTACATACCTTCAGCTTCAGAACAACCGAATCAAGCCCAGTCTGAGCGACTGCGCAGGCTCAAACTGAGCGTGACAACAGTCTGACAGTTGTAAATCTTCTAGTAGCTGTGCCAAGCAAAAATGTTGTTGAAATATTTTGCCCCGTTGCTTTTATGGACTCTCTATCTATGGGCTTCTCTCATAGACAGTAAAAGGCTTCTCCCTCGACTTTATCCCTCCATGTCCCCCTGATTGCCTCATAGACAGTAAAAGATTGCCTGTGAGCTTCTCCTTCTGTCTATACGTTAATTGTCTTAAAAACTGATTTGTGAGCTTTAGTGTAACTAAAGGTGTGAGAATAAACACGAAATGCACGTGATCATTGTCATGCGGTAAATCCGGCGAATCGTGGAACAGCTGTGTCGTCAACAGAGCTTGTGCAGCCACTCTTGAGAAGCTGAGCTGGCTGAGTCCTCCTGGCTACTCATAGACATATACACTAGACCTCACATTGGGGTTCTAAGCATGCGTCAAAACCGCCGCCATCTTGGAACAGGGGTCTTGTCATATGAAGTAGCTAGGTAACGCTGCTATCTCTGCTTTTACTTCGAATTCATTGATGGTGGCGGACTTTTGTGCAGCGTATGATGTTCACGGATGAAATCTGAAATAGGAAGAATGTTTTTTAAAAAAAATATATAAAAAATTTTCTTTCTGGAATCAATGATAAATACATGTCTGACCATTGGAACAAACCAAAAAAACAAGAAAAGTCGCATTCATGATGATTTATGGTGATTTTATTTCCGTTAGACCTGTGTCTACTACATTGACGCTCATGCATTAAAGTGGAGGGGCTCCCCTGTTTCAAGATGGCGGCACCATTGACGCATTCGTTCCAATGAACTCCCGTAGCCAAGGTGAGGTCTAGTGTATATGTCTATGCTGGCTACTCTCGAATCGCTCTCACGTTACTTTGATAGCATACGTCACAGTCATGTGGAGTCAGCGCTGCATCAAGTCGGACAAAATTTTACTGGCATGCGCACTGTTTCAAGTCAGCCACTGATGAGTCTGCGCAGATCTGCATGAAGTCGAACAAACCTAAACTCTCACACATTTACCTGTGTCAGCTGTGTTGTCGATGCCTCGAGAGAAAAGAAAGTGGGGAGCGCAAAAGCATAGACATAATAAATACATAGACCCATTGGCCGCTTTGGAGTGTTCCTCTGATAGTTTTTTATTGTGGAAAAAGAATTTTCTGTGATTGACTCGATTTTAGAAATAACAAAGATAACTGATGGATCCTTTAACTATGGTAATACATTATAGTACAACTATAGTGCACTGCAAATAGTAAATATAAGATAATGTTAGAAGTAATAGTAAATAGTTTAGTCAATAAAATAAACAAACAGTATGCAGCAAATAAAATTGTAATGAAAAGGCTATATAAAATATAGGCTATATAAAATAAAATGACACAACCCTGTCTATTTTTGTTAAATTTCAGTTTTATTGATCAGTGAGAGACATAACAGTTTATAACAGCCTAAATGTATAATAAGTAATAAAAGACATTAGACATTATAACAGCCTAAATGCATAATAAGTAATAAAAGACAAGAAATAAAGTAAACTATTCAGACACAGCAGGATCCAATGTTAAAATAGCCAAAATATAGTTATAAAACTTAACTTTGCCCTCTGCCAAAACGATTTGCCAGGGAACAAATGATACGATTAATGAGACCAAAGATCGTCCGTTAGATATACACAAGACGAATTATACTAGACTAGAGACATCAGAGCCAGCGGCAAACGTCAGAAGCACTAGCCGAGGAAAGGCTGTTCCAGGCGGGGTGCAGAGCGCTGAGACCCCGGTAAAGGCCTGAATATTAATTACAACTCCGAAAATGTCAGATCAAATTTTTAAATAGGCGCTATCTTTATAAATAAACCACAGATTTGAACTTTAGTGACACAACATTTAGTGACACAATAACAGTAGTATTTTTAAATTTCACGTGGCTTCTCTCGTCTGTCTATGCGTGAAATACGGAAGCCTTGAACCGCAAGGTGAGAAAATAAAAGAAAACTTATCTTGTTATTTCGACTTAATAAGTCGTTATAATGACAAGTCGTTATAATGACATAATATCTCATTATAACGTCATAATATCTCATTATAACACCATAATATCTCACTATAACGACAAGTCGTTATTTCGACATAATTTCTCGTTATTTCGACATAATTTCTCGTTATTACGACATGATATCTCGTTGTTACAACAAAATATCTTGTTATTTCGACATAATATCTCGTTATTTTGACATAATAAGTCGTTATTTTCGACATAAATATCTCGTTATTTCGACATAATAAGGGGTGATTCTAATATGCATTAAAGGAGCATTTCACCCACTTCAACATTAATCTTTATTGAAAGTGGATCATATATGTAGTCGAAATGTAAAAGAATTTTTGAATTTGGTGCCCTAGCTCTTGACCCGAGAAAAGACCAAGAAAATAACCAAGGGGCGCATTTGTATGTAAGACACCAACTCCCACAATGCACCACGTTACACAGCTCCACAAGCCAGACCCACTAATCCGGAACTGCGCGCACATCAGAGAAATCACTCTTCCGTTTACAACAGAGACATCACTCTTCCATTAACAAGGCTAACATTAGCTGTCACCAGAGTTTGAAATTCATTTCACACAAAATTTCTAGTTAGTTGGCTGTGGCGAGCAGGACTATTGAAGGCGAGGGACGTAAGAGGACGGCGTGCCGCACAAGGCCGGTGGCGTGAATGATAATGAAAGACACCGCACGCCAGTCTCGCGTCTCTGAAGTGAAACTTAAGGAGTGAAACTTAAGCATACAATGAGGACCGACAATGGCAGATCAAGAGAGAAACAGGCCTGATTTTATGATGTTTTTTGTTTCTGTTGTGTGTAACATTACAGCAGTCGTCAATGAGGGGCTGCTGGCATATACTTTTGTTTTGTATTTGTTCATTTTACTATTATTTTTTTTTTTTTGGTTACTTATTTATGCGTTATTGTATGTTGTTTATGTTTCTGTACAGCAGAAACAGTCTCTTCTGTATCTGTACAGCACTTTGGGGCAGTAGTGACTGTTTGTAAACGTGCTTTATAAATAAACTTGACCTTGACCTTGACCTTGACCTAAAATGTTTAAATGTTCGCCGGTTCCCGCCTCCTTCTTCCCACAACAACAAACCCTATTAACGTTGTGAATTACTCCTCGTTTGTACTTATTTCTTTATGGTGAATTACTGCATGATACCTAGATGTTCAGTCAGGCCAAACTAAGATGGTTCACATCACAACACAAACGTCCGTGTGCTCGTCTGATTCAGAGCTTTCGTTCAGAAGAAACTGCCATTGTTGAAATTCTCTGCAGCAGACGGACTCCATATGTGTTCGTAGTTCACTGCGAGAGCACATACACAGCAGTCCGCCTCAGCTCGAGCCAGTCTGGGCTCCTTGACTGCGACAGGCAGCCGTCTCCGGTTCCTCCATCAGCCTCAGCTGCTCTTCAATATATTGCGGCTCATAAAGATAGCCACGAACATCAGATTCGAGCAGCAGACTTTCAAAATACTTTTCTTCCATATGATGTTTAGTTTCTTCCATCATTATCATTCTTCCTATCTCCACAGCGCTTGTTAGCT